ACTTTGCTCAGATAGACTGTTCTGATAGTGTTTTATTATATTGGCTGTATTGTAGACAGCAGACTCCTGAATTCTCATGAATACTTTCTTAATCACCTTAACACTCACACTGACACACTGAACTGTACTGTGTTTTAGTATTTGTCCCTGAATAGTGCTGAACTGTTTCCTGTAGTGTTGTAGTACTCAAACTTGTATACTGTACTCTCAGCTGTACTGAGCTTTAATACTCTGACACACCTGTGTGAAGACGTCCAAAATGGACAGTTGTAACACTCATACCTGCGTACTGAACTCTGTACGCTGTACTGTAATACTCAGACAGATCTGTGCGCTGAATTCTCCACTGTACTGTGCTTGAATAATGACAGATCAGTGGGCTGTACTGAACTTTAATACTCTGTGACAAACCAGTATTTTGAACCCTTGACTGCAGTGCACTGCAATACTCAAACCTGTGTGCTGAACTCTCTCCTGTACTGAGCTGTAATACTCTGACACACCTGTGCGCTAAACGGCTTTGTGCTTTAGTATTTGAACCCTAGTGCTGAACTGTTGCCTGTTGAGACTGACTGTACTCTCAGCTGTACTGAGCTTTAATAGTGTTTGACACACCTGTGTGAAGAACTCTGACATGTACAGAGTTCATTACAACTGTACACTGTACTATAATACTCAATGACACATCTGTGTGCTGAATTCTCCACTTTAATCATTAACGACAGATCACTGTGCTGTACTGAGTTTTAATAGACAAGCCAGTATTCTTTACCCTTGTAGAGTAATATAATATAATACTCACAGCTGGACTGAACTCACCTGTAGTGAACTTGAATTCTCAAACCTGTGTACTGAACTCTCTCCTACACTGAGCTTTAATACTCCTTGACATACCTGTGTGCTGAACTGTGTATTGTTTTAGTATTTGAACCTGAGTGCTGAACTGTTGCCTGTGGTGTTGTAGTACTCAAACTTGTGTACTGAACTCTCGGCTGTACTGAGTTTTAATACTCTGACACACCTGTGTGACGAACTCTCATACAGTATGCACATGTTCTGATACGTACTCAAAGCTGTGTACTAGCTCTCCCTTCTACTCATAATACACATCTGTGTACTGTTCTGGAGTGTACTCTGCTGTAAAAATCAAGGACAGATGAGTGTGCTGAACTCTCACTTGTACTGAACTTTAATACTCAAGCCTGTGTGTTGAACTCTCACCTGCACTGAACTTTTAATGCTCAATGACACACCAGTATTCTAAACTGTCACTTGTTAGGAACTTGAATACTCAAATCTGTGTGCTCAGCTCTCACCTGGACTGAACCTTAATGCTCAATGACCCAACAGTATTCTAAACTCTCAGCTCTCACCTGAACTGTACTAAAATACGTAAACCACTCTGCTGATCTCTCACTTCTACTGATCCATAATACTCAGGGCCATGCTCATACTGTGTGCTGTAGTTTAACATTCAGACCTCTGTGTGTAATCTAACTTTGGTGCTGAACTGTTTATTGTACTGTTGTAGTTCTCAGAGCTGTGCTGAACTCCCTTCTACTGGGGTTTAATGCTCAAATGTGTGTTCTGACCTCTCACCTGTACTGTTGTAATACTCAGCCTTGTTTACTGAAGCCTACACCTGTACTCCTGTAGTACTCAGAACTATGTACTGAACCCTGCACCGGTGTTGTTATAATACTCTGATCTGTATACTCATCTGTCCTGTTGTGTTCCTCAGACATGTATACTGCACTTAACCTGTATTGTAATACTCAGATGTGTGGACTGATCTCTGTACCTCTGTTATAATACTCTATGTATACTCCTCTGTACTATTGTAATACTCAGACCTATGTACTGCACTCTGTACCTGTACTATTGTATCTCTCTGCCTTGTGTCCTGAACTCTGTACCTGTACTGTTGTAACACTGTCATTTGAACACTGTACTATTGTACCCCTCTGCCTTGTGGACTGAACTCTGTACCTGTACTGTTGTAATACTGTGACGTGTTTCCTGAACTCTATACCTGTACTATTGTAATATTGTACTCTGAATAACCCTCTGCCTTGTGTCCTGAACTCTGTATCTGTACTGTTGTAATACTGTAATCTGAACCCTGTACCATTGTACCTCTGTGCCTTATGTCCTGAACTCTGTACCTGTACTGTTGTATTGCTGTGATGTCTGCACTTAATTTTGAACCTGTACCACTGCCTTCCTCAGCCGTCTGTAACAAACTCACCTGTAGTGTTGTAAGGCTCAGGTAGGGAGGCTGAATTTTCTCTGTGATGTTATTTACAAAATGGCATGTCTCTATTGAAGTCTTCTCTGTATTGTGCTCTAATAGTGCAGCCTATTTTTCTAACTCTCACATATATGAGTGTGATGATCAAACTACAGCACTGAACTCCGTACCTGTACTTTTGTAATATTCAGATCTATGTACTGTGTTTTGTACCGGTCCCGTTGCAGTAGTCAGACCAGTGTTAAGTGAACTCTGTACCTGTCCTGTGACACTCAGTTTTCTGCACTGTGCTGTGTACCTGTCCTGTTCCAGTATTCAGACCAGGGGCGAGTGAACTCTGTACCTGTCCTGTAACACTCAGTTTTCTGCACTGTGCTGCGTACCTGTCCCATTGCAGTATTCAGACCAGTATTGAGTGAACTCTGTACCTGTCCTGTGACACTCAGTTTTCTGTACTGTGCTGTGTACCTGTCCTATTGCAGTATTCAGACCAGGGGTGAGTGAACTCTGTACCTGTCCTGTTGTAAGAGTGTGACCTGTATATTGTCCTTTCACCTGGAGTGCTGTAATACGTTACCTGGTGCGTGACTTCTTGCCCGGCTGGTGCTGTCCCATCTCACAAATAAGCAGACCTGCCCACGGTCCAGTTCTAATGCTGCCACCTCTGTGCTGGACTGTCCCCTGTTAATTCCAAGAGGTGTAGGCTCACATCTGTGCCCATGACGCACTGGTCCACTTCAGCCCCGTCCTCAACCCACACTGCAGCTGTTTCAGTGTGCAGACCTGCCAGGGTTGGGCAAGAAGGGTTAAGCGTGTGTGCTGAGGTGTGGCCTGTACCATGCTGCAATCGTTACACACCGCCACCCGTCTGCGCGCAACGCAATTGTGTTGAGCCTCGGCCACGCTCGCCTGCTGTTCTTAACAGCTCTGCCCATTTCTCTGGGCTTGTTGACAGGGGGGTAATTTGAGTGACTTTGCTCAGTCTCAGACTGCGTGTTTTGCTCCCCCAGGGCGGAGCTGGGCTGGGGACCGCTGGGGCACGGGAGCCGAGGCGGAGCTGCAGTCGGGCTGGAGCAGTGGCTAGGTCCTTCCCGAACGCTGGCTGCCCGTTACACTACGTACTTGTCATCTCTGTGATTTCAACATACCGTACTACATCCACGCTCCAACCAGGGCAGCGTGCGTTCCCCCTCTGCCTGTATCGTTTGTATTGCACAGTGTGTGTGTGTGTGTGCACGCAAAGTCAAGGAGTGTTGATAAGGGGAGGAGGGAGCGCGCCGTCTCCACCATCTATATCTTTCTCAGTGGGACTGTCTTGCTGCAGGACCTCTCGAACTACATTTCCCAGCAGGCTGTGGGGGGGAGGGGATAATGGTGGCCAATGGAATACCTCCCCTGGGTTGATGGGGGACAGGTGCTGTCAATTCAAGCCTGCAGGCGGTGTGAGAGTAGAGCTCAGACCCTGCTGGAACTCCTGCAGAGATACTAGTTCACCCTTTCTGTGTGAAAGATGTCTCAGTTGCAGGGAAGCTGTGATGGAGGGATATATATACATGTTGAGCAAGCGTGCATGTTTTAAATAAAGCAGGAGCTGTCCTACTTTCACAGCAGCTGATTTTTCTCCTTGATTTATATCTCCTTTTACAATTCAGTGGCTAGGACTGCTCTTGGGTGATACTCTGCTTCATCTCGAAACTCCCTCTCCTTGTTTAGCTTCAGTGTGGCTCTATCATGGCTCTTGTCAGAACCATGGTGCCCAGAGTGCACTGTAGCTTTCAGTCAGCTGCCCAGTGGGAGACGGAGAAGGAGGAGTCAGGTGACACTAAAGCAGCAGGAAGTGGAGTCAGGCCCTGTTCCT